GTGGCAAGATATCTTCCTAGTAAAAATATGATAAAGAAAGATTATCCAAAGATAATAATGCAGGCTTGTATAATCTCTAAAAATCAGAAAATCTGAAAAATATGGGTCCAACTAATAGGTATTGGAAAGGGGAGAAACAGAGTAAGCCGAGAGAAGTGAAGGAGGTATGTTGGAGTCCAACAGATTTGCCAAAGGTTTGTGTCATAGCTACCCGAAGAGATTCGAAAACCGAAACCATTTAGGAATCAGAAGTGTAGAATCTCCACTGGCTGGAAGATTCTTGTTTTCGGGAGTGACATTCATACAAGAGGAATCGTGGGGAACAGAATCCTATTTCCAAGAATCGAGATTGGACCAAAAATAGAATTGAGATCCCTATATAGATGGATTCAAGATTCCTGACTCTTTGGAATCGAGTTTCCGACCTAGTTGGAATTCACCAATATGGAATCGAGACTCGTTCATTTATGAATTGAGATTCCGACATCTTTGGAATCAAAAGGGAACTGAGAGAGAAACAATACATGTCTCAATGCCATTCATTGACCGATAGGTCATACATTCATGTTTACATCATTTATATTACATTATGTCCAACATCTTGGAGTTGCAATCTCTCCATTGGATCAATACAATTAATACTTAGAAACTTAAGCAGAGAACGTGGACCAACACTTTAGCTTCTATAGGTCATTACATGCCAAAAAAGATGACTACACGTTGTAGCTTGGGATTTTGTGCCCAGATGCCTTGAAAACTTCTAAACATCACTTCTCATAAACAAGCAAACAAAAAAGGAAGAGAGGGAGAAGTTGTAGAATTCCGATAAATGTGGAAAGTTTCAACAAGGATAGAATCGAGATTTACCAGTTGCGGAATCGAGAATCAATAAAATATTGGAAACAAGATTATATAAATGTTAGAGTCGAGATTCCTAAAATAAGAAATCGAGATTCCAGACATCAAGGAAATTCCATGAAGATTCCTAGCCGGAATCGCCGAATTGGGGTTCTGGATTGAAATCACGACCTTCAGTGAGAGATTCGAGTAACTGCGGTTTGTGTTTTATGTATTTATAGACACAATAAGTTACAAAGGGCAACTTTGTCCTACAAACTTTACAAAAGTCAATTAATCCTAAAGAATGACAAAAACAGCGGTAAAGAAAGAAAAAAACTCACATGGGTCCTTAGAGCTACATATACAAAATATACCCACTCTCTACACAATCTATGTCCTAGAACACCTCTGATCCCTGCATGTCCCTTATTTTACTTTATCAATTGTCAATCCCAATCCCTTCCCTTTTCCTTATCATGCATACTCCGGTTCCCCCCCCCCCCCTTCTCTCTCTAAAGATGGCACCACCTTTTCTCTCATCTATCTAAATCCTAACTTTTAAAATTTTCCATTTCTTTTGTGCATTTTTTTTACTCAGAACATAAACAAATTTTGATGCCCCTTAGTTTTGATATTCTTCTAACTCTACAAACCATACTCCCAGCTCACTCATGAGACAGAGAAGATTCTTCATTAAACTAGAAGAAGAGTAGGGATGCACAAAGTTACGAGAAAGAAACAAAGCCAGCAGGTTTTCTCTACTTCTTCCACTAGTTAAGTCCCCAGTGAAACAAGTTGCCCCAATGCCCCTTTCTAGGGCCCACGTAATTGTGTGGCGGACAGCTGGTTAGGTATATACGTTTTACACATAATCTTCTTATCAAATCATCATCATCATCATCATCCGAGCCTTACCCCAACCAGCTTTCTTATCAAATATAGTTCTAGAATATACTACCGGTGTAGCCCAGTAATTACAAAACTTCCTCTGCAAAGAAATGATAGAATGGAAGATAAGACAAAAAGAGAATACCACATGGAAGAGAGGGAAGACACAAGATATGGAATGAGGAAGAAAAATAAGAGGATAGCAAATTCTTAGAAGAAAAGAAACATCAATATTACCTGACAACCACCCACTTGTTTCAAATTAGTTAAAATAATATTTCAACTTTACAATCACAGTGTATGCACAATTGCACATTACTTGAGTTGCACAAGTTCAAGCAATATATGGGCTTATATACATCGAGTTAGATCGAATTAATAATGGTTAGCACACATTTTCCCATGCTCAAAACTTAATATCGTGACATAGTACACGATATAAGAGGACCTGTCTTTCAGACTTCATACATATGCTTCTAAATCAAATTCTCTCTTTCAATACCCCAGTAATACACACCACCAAATATGTGCATATCTCCAAGATCTTCTATAGATGAAATTTTTCATGAGGACAGAATAGATGATTATGTTTACATTCAGCTTTACAGATATTAGTAAAGCTGACAATTTTTTGGTTCTGACAATTGTCATAAGTAACTTAAGAAAGATTACTAAAAAAGTTCTACAATATGAGAATAAACAGCTCTGAAACAAAATCCAGAACTACAAGCTAGAAATATTGGGAATTACAGATGTTTCAATTATTTTGAATCACTCTAGAGTGACTTCAAATCCTAAAAAATTCAATAGAACTCAAAATTGAGATGGTTCCAAACTCGGAAGAAAGCAAGTCAAGGCTAGCGCAACCTAGTAATCAACAACAAATAACACCTGACTTACAAACAAGTGAATCGAACAAAACAATTTCAATTTTACTCTCATATTGCATAAAAAAGAAAATAGTAAAATCTTTTAAATCAACTAGTTAAAACCTACTGAACGACCCTATTGTGCACAGATAAAAGTACTTCAACAGGCCCAATCAGAGATCGACTATTTAACCCAATTGTTAGGGCTTCTGAGCACAACTATCAAATGATGAACAGGATAAAACTGGACATGTACAAATTCTTATGAAGAGAAGCCCAAGTTTTCATTTGTGACAAATATAACAGCTACCTTTAATGACATGGATAGGAGAAAGGCTTCCCAATGAGACCTAATCCTAAGGTGGGCCATCCATCTAAATCAAATATGAAAAATAATAGGATTGAAAAATAGTGACTTGAATGACATGTTTCTACTACAGGCATCATGCATCATGAACAAGGACGAAAAGATCAAACTTGATTTGCAATTTGCTAGGTCCCAAGTCCCAACACAAGTCTATTTGCCAAGTCCTGAGTCATTTATGCGCAGTTCACAAACTAACAGTAAAAAGGGCATCTTGCCACAGGTGGCCAAGTGGAATCCAAGTGAAGTATTATTTCCAAGCAGAACTCATGGCACAGGAATACCACAGCATATTTCTAATTTCTAAAACAATCAGAACTTAACAGGTGGTCATGGTTCAGCAAGCTTATAACTATAAAATATTGTATTCTGAGAAAATATTAAAAACGTAAGTAAGACTCATCTGCTTCTTAATTTTTAAGAAAACGTTGGCACTTGGCAGTTGCAGAAGCCAAAGTCACAACAGGAAGTTTGAGTCCCCCACTCGAGAATCTTCACCACTACAGAAGTTGCAGCAGGGGACCTAAAGGCCCATCCAAGAAGTGAGCTGGAGATATTTAGAGCAACACTAAATGACCCCCGCCTTGCTAACCACTAGCCAAGTCCCCCTTTTGTTCTCAGCTCCCAGAAACATGATTTAGTAAAAATGTTTCTTTAGTAATGCCAACAGGAGAGAACCTATGTTACAAATAAAATGACACCCTTTTTGGTGTTTGATACAGACATGTATGTCTCACATGGTTCCCCAAAAGTCGACACACCCTATCCATATCTAAATGAGGTGGAGAGCATATGCAAGTATAATACCGGAAATGAAGCATAGGAGTGCCCATTCTTAGAAGCTTTATGATTGGGAATGCCTAGTAAACGGCCATACAATAAGTTACAAACATCATAGTAAATACCCATAAAATAAATTTATTAAATGTTTATAAGGTGGATATTATAATTGGAAATATTTGAAATGCAACAATTTAATATTCATTGGTTACATTACATTGGATGTACTTTGCCTTGAGCTATTGTAAGTACCTGTTGTGCTAGAGGTCATGAATAACTTGGAAACAATGAGTGAAGTGAGTGAACCCAGAAGTGAGAGTAATTGATGCGACCTCAAGAGGTTACCAAGGGAGAAGCTATACATCATTGAATAGGTTACCTATTCAACTTATTAGCATCGATACGTGTTCCCCAACCGGTGGCAAATGTTTTCCTATTAACTGGGAAACTGGTTCCTGATTTGTCAAACTATGGTGCCAGCTTGGAGGGACAATGGTTTCAACTTCAAGGAACAAGGGCTTCTACAAGGTTGAGGTCCCAAAGCATGGAAATATGCTAATAGAGCAGACACAGGACTAGTAGTGGGCTCCTTCAATAAGGTCCATATAATTTTGAGATGTCGATTTGCCTAAAGACAGGATTCCTAGATAATGTATAAAAAGTATTACATAAATTGAATAAAACATTTAGACAACGGAATTCAAAGTTGGGGAAACACTCGTCCAAATTTTAGACACGGAAGACACCTGAAGTTTTGATGTGTATGTCCAAGTTCTAGACACGTATGTCCAAACAGGTGTGCTGATGGCCGAGATACCATTCTTGCTGACACGTCCCAAAAGTGTTGACACGTATGTCTGAACATCAACATGAGTGTCAAATCATCTGTTAAGAGTCAAAAATGCCGAATGTGGACGAAACATGTCTTCATTAACTAGAAGGAAACTAGCTTAAGTTGAAGTAAAGGCACCTGCACAAGTATTAGATAAGGCACATATTTAAGTGCCCAAAATTTGAATAAATTCAGATTAAGTACCTCCTGAAAGCAGTCAAGGATTTTCTTTTATCAACTTTCTGCTGGTACTACAATCTCATATAATCTTAACAACGATCAAATCAAAATGGACTGTAGTTTGCAGTTTGTTAAATTTTCAGACAAGTAAAAATTTCAGCAGGCATGTTACACTAATTCTCTCTCATGGAAAAATGTTATGAATATTGTTAGCTAAAAGCACAAGTATGACTGTTTTGAACATTACTGATCCATATCAATCTCAAGGCCGGAATTGAAATTTTTCTGCAGCAATCTCCACATTCCAGTTCTAGGTTTTCGAAAAGGATCACCAGTGCCCTCCATTCCGCAAGATATGAAAACCTGCACCTCATGAAATTCTATGGATTAGATGCAGGCATGAATTCCACAATCCAGGATATTTAACTACTTCACAAACTTTGTACTACATATATGGTTAAACAGTAGCACCAAAGTAGGGAAACTGATTGGGAATCCTACTTGATATTTGCAATTCAATGCTTAATAAAAGTAGAAATCTACAATTCATTCATTAACAGCTAAACAACTGGAATCTATAGTAAAATACCTTTTTACATTACGAATGCTCCAAGTAAAGAAAATGAAAGCGGACCCCTACAGCCTCCTCCAAATTATACACGACAAAGTATTTATTAAAATAAAATGTAAAACAATAGCCACCTGGATAGGAATCTTCACAAGCTTGATGAAGTTGATAAGGCGTCCAATCTTAGAATCAACGGCTTTCTGCCTGCTGTTCTTCCACCGATCAATGTTAGATTCATTAGTGAAAATCACCTGATAATTGAAAATGATCAAGATCTTGTAAAATAATATAGGATTAAGCAACATGAGAGAAACTCAGATGTAATTATGTAACTGAATGGCAGTAATGTTACATTCTACATTGTCGGTTATCTTCAGAAAGTGTGTATGATATCTGTAAGGCTATGAAGAAAAGCACAGAAAACAACAAAAACAAAACAAAAAAACTACACACCAGTTTATACCCATTGTTGTACAAACTTTGCAGTTTTGCTGGTATTGAAGGATAGAGAAGGGACCAAGCATCAGGACCAACTCTGTAGCAAAAAAGAAGTACATAAAGATGTAAATCCAAAGCTTTCACCAACTGACACTAAGCACAAGAACAGATAAAGTTGATGCATGTCTAATTCTCCCTCAACCAAAATGTAATCTGCAGAAACAAACGATTCCAAAGCCTAAATTCTATAAAAATAACAAATTAGATGCATAAGAACTGGAACGCTTCCACATGATTTTCTTTTTAACAGTTTTTTATTGTTCAAGGTCCAAGACTTCCAATACAATGAAAAAAAATCCAAAAAAGATAGGTCTAGTTCAAGAAGAAAATCCTCAAACACCAGAAAAATCAGGATACCTTTTCACAGATGTTTTCACAAGGCAGCCATCAAAATCAAATGCAGCAATCTTACTTGATGTGTGAAATCCATCTTCCTATGTAAGCAATGGAAATAATAAGTACACGGAAAGAGGCCTGTACATAGTGAACATTAGACTGCTTTATAGCCAAGAGAAAATCTACAGGATCTTTCAAAGTTCACAAGTAAATATCTAAATGAGGCTATGGGCATTTAAATTTTTGTAAAACTAAAATGCATTCTTGACCTCTAGGTTGCCCAAGGAATAGCATATGAGAACATATTTCCGTCATCCACCATTCACTGACACTAAGGTTTATGCATGTATAGCAAAGCATGGGACAACAGATGCTTCTCAAAATTTAAAATGTTTTTAATATGACCTTTGTACCTAGTTCACTCAGTCAGAACTAACATTCCACAGTCCTGCATTGTGCAAAATTAGAAAGGGAAACCACACAAAATTCCATCATTCAAGCATGTATTGCGTAGATGCACTCTTCATTTTATAAATAAAGCTTCTTATGGAAGATACATGTTCTTGCGAACTCCCTGGAGCTAATATTGGGAACATAACAAAGTTCAGTTATCCTTCCCCAAGTGCATTTCACTCGGCAAGGGCAGCTTAAAAGCAAGAGCGAAGGCCAAGGGAAAGCTTAAGGTGCATAGACATGCAATTGAGGCTGGCGCACGGGTGTGTGTGTGTTTCAAAACAATAATGGCCTTTGATAGTTTGTTTTGGAAACTTTTTACAGTGAGCAAAGTGTTAGAGTCAAAAATTTTAGTCCCACATTGACCAAGTGATTCTCAAGTAGAGAAGGAAGTATACTTTCTCCATTTGAGTACATAGAACCAAGAGAGAAAGCTTATGTAGAACACGTGAAGCATGCGAATCGCACAAGGGTGAATGTATGCATGGGGGTGGGCAAGAGCAAGGGTAAGGGCACAAGGCGCTTGAGCGCACTTCAACTTCGCACACTCACATCGGCACAGAGATACCCTTAGCTCATGAATGTGCCAAGTCGCATTCGTAATTTGCATTTTTTATTATTTTTTGTTTGGAATCACGAAACTATCTAATCCCTATTAACCATGTTTGGAATCAACATAGTAATAAAAACGAGATCATTTTTTAGGTCAAGCACTAGTGAAATGAAGTTCGCCACTAGCAAACTAGAGCCACTATATAGAGAAAGTGCACAAAAGATTTGATCACTACAAGCAAACCAGAGCCACTATATAGAGAAATTCACATCGTGCGAATCAAAGCCACTATCTAGAGAAAATGCTAACAAAAAACCAAAGTGGACTCACTAAGGAAAGGCCTTACAAGAGACCAAGTCTGGAAAACAACTAGAGATATCACTCAAGAATTATACCACAAAGTAAAGGGAAACCCACATATTGGATAAGGTGATCCCTAGTCCAATTTTCATCGTTTAGATCTCTAGAAAATATTTCCAGAAATAGTCTTCCAAAGAAACTGTTCATATCTGTTATTTGAATACAAAATTTGGAATAGAAATTAGTTTCTAGAAGAAATAGTTTTCTCTATTTTGAAGCTCAAATAAAAAAATGTCTATCCATGCTCCTCCCCTAAAAAAATCTATTTCTTCACCACACTTTTCACATGAGCTCCAAAAAAAATCTGAGCTTAACAAGATGTGGGACACATTTAAAAGAAACCCCTGGGCCGTCCATTGTCCTCTCTCTCTCTCTCTCTCTCTCTCTCTCTCTCGTCTACT